CTGCTTGTTCGTGATAGTTGAAATCACCGGCAGTGAAGACGGTCGCATACTCTGCAATCATCCTTCTGGCTTTGATCGCGGTAAACTTAGTGCGCACACAGGCCTCCGTCCACTCAGGGTCAATGCGAACGTTCACGACCTGTAAACACTCGCGGCGACTCTGCAATGTCAGGATCGAAACACGTCTAGCCTCGATCTCATGGAAGCCAGCGCGGGGGAGGAAGGAGAGGAGGGACCGCGAGACTATAGCTACATTACCCCCAGCGCTGGACGAACTAGCAGACGCACCAAAATCGCAAAACTGGGGAATCTCTGGGCCGAGAGTTCCCGAATCCCCTGCGGCCCCATGGGGCTCCTGGATGCACACCACAGGATGTGCCTTTCAAACCGCCTTTCGACCCTTGAATTTGGCCTGGCTCTTCGACGAAGCTGTGTGCTTAGAGCTTAGAGCGTCAGCGTCAGAGAGACCGAGCGTTCCAAGACGCAGTGCCGAAAGGGCGACCAGGCACCGGCCAAACAGAGGCTTCACTCGGCGAGGATCCCCTTCAGGCGGAGAAGAACCAGCGGGAGGGAGAAGCACGAGGCCCCGAAGCGGAACAGGTGGTACGGGTTGGTCTGCAGCTCGCCTGGGAAGCCACCACCACCACCATCATAATCATGAGCATCATGATCATCATCCTCGCCATCATCATCATCATGCATCGAAAGTGAAGGGGTAACCTCCAAATGGAACGTCCTTGGGGTAGACTGGCACTCGATCGTGGCGTCCGTGGGTGGCCGCTGCGATCACTTCCTAAATATTCTGCAGGTCCGCCTCCCAAGAGCGGATCGCGGTCTCATCAGGCTCGAATCGGAACTTGTCTTGCCCCTCAGGAAGCACGTTGCTTATTTCCCACACGTCGTCAGCCGTGGCTGTGGTTATGACCCCCTTGAAGCCGTTGGCGCCCAGCTTGATGCTGGCATCCCACCTCTCACTGGCTTGGACGACGGAGCGAATCTCGACGTCGATCGGCAAGTCGCCCCCGACGCGGATGCTGGCGATCCTGTTGGCGCGCGGGTCGGTCCATGTCGGTGGTTGAGCAGACGCTTCCGCGCAGAAAGCCCTGGCCTGCGCTTCTGACGGGAACACAGATATTGTAGCTCTGGGCTGCCTTGTGACGCTCTATGTCTATGCGGGCCCCTGCGAGCGAGACGAACTTGTCGGCAAGGCAATGGTGAAACTTTTCTCGGACTTCGGCAAGCACTGGTCAGTGCAGGGCCGTGTTCCAGTCCATCTCGCGCGTGCATCTGTGTCAGGATGTGGAGCTCCGGCACGGTCCATGCGCTGCCGTCGCTTTTTTGCAAGAGTACCCCGACGCTGTACTTGCTTCCGACATCGGCCTGGACATCAGGGCATATTGGTCCTGGAGAACCTTGATCTGGGCAGCATGGCTGTCGATCTTCATAGCGAGGTCGGCCTTCTGTCGATTCGACTGGTCGATCTTGTCATTGAGGTCCTTCGCCTCGGCCTTCAGCGTGCTGCGCAGACTGTCGATATTTCCCGATACCGAGGCACACACCCCATTCAGCATCGCGTGAATCTGCTCTGCAGTTATCATGGCAATAACAAAACTGCTCAGGCGTGACCACAAGGTGTAGGCGCTCGGCCTCCTGTCGGCCAAAGTGTTTGGACCAGCCGCTCGGCTTGAGCCAGACTAGCTTGAGCCAAAATGGCTTGAGCCAAAATGGCTACGGCGGAAGAGCAGGAGCAGGAGCAGGAGCAGGAGCAGGAGGAGGAGGCACCAAGCAGACGCGGCGATCGTTCGATCAGCGTCGGTTTCACGTAAAGAGGAGGCACCCGGGGAAACGAACTGTGCACCAGAACCAACCCTGGCCAGGTCCGCCGCCAATCCTGGGCCGGGACCTTGGCAGGGTCGTGTGCCGATGCAGAGCTGGATTCCCTTCCCATGCTGTGGTCCTACCCTGGCGCAGGCGACGCCTCACCGGAACCAGTTCGAAGTCTGGCCGCCACGCACCAGAGGCATGGCACTGCCTGCGGCCACCTGGGGAGCCGGCTCTTCCATGCACACCATCAGGAGGGTGCAGCCGCGCGGTTGTGTTTTGAGGCGGGGAAGCAGTTGGATCGCGAATATCCCTCCCTGCTTCTCCCTCTCTCTCTATATATATGTGGAACTATACTATATATATCTATATATATATATTTATAATTATATTATATATAATATATATATAATAGACTTGTCTGTCTCGCCGTCCCCCTCCTCCTGCGTCTTCTCCTGCCTCTCCGTCTCCTCCCCCGCCTCCCCTCGCTAACTATCCAGAGCTGCCGCTGCTCAAGACGCCTCCCGTCTCTGCGCCATGCGCCGGCTCGTTCATCGCCCTCCTCTTCTGCCACTACAGTCAACCCGTTTCGCAAGGCGGGCGATGAGGATGCAAGGGCCTTGGACGCCCGTTTCGAAGCTTCTCGAGCGGGGCGCGGCCACCGAAAGCGGCCGAGGATGGCCCGAGGAGGCAAGGATGCGAGGGCACCCTCGGGGAGGTTGCCCCTCCTGACTGTGCGGGTTGACTGCGCACTGCCACCACTGCTGCTCGAGACACCCGCCGACCGGCAGTCTTGGAAGCGGCGCTGACGAGCCACAAAGCACGCTCGCCCTGGACGCGAGCAGCGACGGGCACCACCGACCCCCGGCCCCCGGGCGAGCGGCAGCAGACGGCCGCGCCGGCCATCGCACAGCCGCCTCTCTCCTGCGTGTCGGCGGCGAGCCCGAGGGGGGAAGGCAGAGGGGGCGGGCGGGCCTTCTCAGGAGGCTCGGAGGGCCTCCGGCCTCTCCGAGACGCTTCTGAGCCGCCTCCGACGACGGAGACGGCGTCTCAGAGTCCCGCCGTCGCTCGGACGTCCATGCCCCGTGCATCTTTGGGTTTCGCGCGTGTTCTTGTTGGCCCGATGGTCGAGGATGCTCCTCGAAGGTGCTCGCCGAGAAAGAAAATGCACACGCCGCTCACTTCCCCCCCGGGCGCGCCGCCGAGGTTGTCTGCGTGCGCAGAGGCATCCTCCCCTTGCCGAGCTATCCCCACCTGACGATGTCCTCCGCACAGATCCGCCTTCAACAAAAAAACGTGGATCTAAGGCTCGCTGTGGTGTAGGTCTCAGCCTAACGGAACAGATACAATGGCATCCAAAGCAGTGGTAAGTCTACACCTCCTACGCCTTCCCACACCTTTTCTACACACATCCTCAGCCATTCCGCACAAAATCGGTCTAGAGTCAAGCTCGACAGGGCCTTCTTTCCCCAACGATTATATCCCAAGCCCGCTCCCTTGGCTGCGGTTTCGCTAGATACGGTGGGGGCATTTTTTATCTCTGTAGGCCCTGCGCGCGCGCAGGGGGTTCATGCATGCATTCAGAAAGAGGGGGCGGCAGGCCGAGGCTACCCGCGCGCCCACACGGCCGCCAGCTGCGCCTCCAGGTCCATTAGGAGGGCTGACGTCGCGCCTCGGAGCTCGTCCGATGCCGACCGCCATTGGCCCGAGGCCTTCTCGGGCGCGGTCGGGCTCGGCTCCGAGTGGCGCTCCCGCAGGTCATCCGCCAAGAGGTCCGCGCAGGCGTCCTGCTCAGCCACGGCCTCTGCAGCAACCACACTGCTGTTCGTGCCCTCGGACGCCTGCGGCAGCACCTCGCCGCCAGCAGCCTCGGACAGCCCGATGGGCCCCGAGGTGCCTGCAGTGCCGCCGCTCAGGGCGGCCTCCTGGGCGAACCCGCCGCGGGCCCGCGCGCCGCTGCCGTGCACCAGCGCCGTGCCCCCAGCAGCGGCATACAGCGCGTCGAGCTCCGCGGTGCCAGCAGCGTTCACCTCCGCGTCGTGCGGCTTCACGAACTCGCCGCGACCCTGGGACTGCGACTTCGGTGGGCTGAATCCACCTGTCCCAGGGCCGGGCTCCGCCGCGGCGGCGTACCTGGAGTCGGCCTCGCCGCCGAGCTCCGCCGCCAGATCAGCCATCAGCTGGTCCAGGTCGTCCTGGACGCCGAAGGCCTCGTTCGCCGACACGAAGATCTCCTCCACGAAGGCGTCGTGGAGCTCGGCTAGGTCGCGGGCGCGGGCGGCCGCAGCGCCCTGGGGGCCACCGAGCTGCGGCCCGCCGCTCCCGCCGTCGGCGGCCTCCAGCTCCGCGTCGACGCCGTCGGTCTGCGCGTGCTGGCAACCCTCGCCGAGAAGCGCCTCCTGCATGGGGGCGGCGTAGGCGAAGAGGTCCGCCAGCAGCTGGTTGGCGTCGTGCGGCGTGTGGGGCACGCCGCCGCCGGGCGCGCCAGCGCCGATGGGGCCGAGGGGGACGAAGGGAGGCGCATCCGCCCTCAGCGCGCCATCGGCCGCCGCGCGCCGCTCCAGCCGGGGTCCCCGCTGCGCAGAACGTAGCTCCGCCGCGCTGGCCGCCACGATGTCCATGCCCTGCGCCTCGGGATGGAGGGCGACGTTGCGGCGCAGGCGCTCGAGCCAGGATGGGGTCCACCCTCCCAGCGTGGCCTGCAGCGCGGGGAGCATCGCCTGCAGCCTGTGGGCCACCTCGTCATCCCCGATGACCGCGCCCAAGGCCTGCTCCGCGGCCTCCAGACGGGCCCGAGTCCTCCCCAACTCGCCCGTCAGCCGCCGCACGGCGTTGTCGGCGGACCACTTAGCCCACTGCCGTCCCGCAGCACGCTGGGCCGCCGAACGCATTGGCGCGCACTCCGCGCCATCCCGCGCCATCCTGGGTCCCGCGCGCCCGAAAGCGGGCGGGCCTGGCCTTGAGCCAAAATGGCTACGGACGGTGGGGGCATTGGATAAGGAAGCATTGGATAAGGAACCCAGGGTCTGGCAGCCAGTAGAAAGCCAATCGAGGCTTGGCCATGGATATCACCGCCACCCTCATCAGATAAGGAACCCTCCAGGGTCTGCAGCATACTGGGCGCATTCCTTAACCAGCGCCCCCACCGTAGGGACAACCCGAATAGCAGCAAAGGGAGCCACACAATCCGCCGAGTCAGCCACGCCCTGGGGCAGAGCGAACGGCATGGGGGCCCGGGTCGTTCTTCCAGGACGTCTACTAGAGCGCCACGGCCCTCCCCAGTCCCCAAGCTGTCCGGCGTCAGGACCTCGAGGTCAGACGAAGCCAGGACGAGGATAACATCGGGTCAGGATAACATCTCCTCTTCCTCCTCCTCCTCCTCCTCCTCCTCCTCCTCCTCCTCCTCCCCCGCCTTGAGACGAAGCCAGGACGAGGATAACATCGGGTCAGGATAAATCGAAAGTCCCTGAGATCCGGCGGCTCTTGAGGATGCCTCGGGCGCCGCGGCCTCCTCAGAGCCTTCCGGAACGCCCTGAGGGCGCTCCGGAACGCTCTGGAACGGCCTTCTACCCGAGCCCCGTCCGACGAGGTCCTCGGACCACCCGACGGGCTCCCAGACCCCCGACGTAACGAATTTTTCATTACGTCGACCCCAGAGTTCTCGACCCCTTCCCCAGGACCGGTTTGTCACCCTGAGTCGTTTTTTGACGCTCCCGAGGCCCGGTGAGGGCCCCCAGAGGCCGAAGATGGCGAAAAACCTCCCGTCTTGATTTTTTCATTACTCGAGGGGGTCTGGGCTAGGAGAAGCCCGGGGCCCCAACAAGCTGCTGTCTCTCGGGGGAGCGCAGCGCTGACGTCCGCCCGCCTCCTGCCAACTTCCTGGCCGGCGGAGCCGCTCCGTGGTACTCTCCGCCGGCTCCCGCCGAGGAGGAGAGGCCAACTCCGTCGATCCCTCGGAGGCGAGGCCCTCTATGGAGCGACCCCTTCCGAGTAGGGGATCGACTACAGAATCGGTTCACCCCAGACTTGGTTCTCTCGGCGAATCTACACCCAAAAAAACGTGGGATGATCTACGGGCGTTCTACGTATGTTCGTATACTCGACTAGAAAATCAAATGTTGGGGCAAACCGATTCTGTAGTCGATCCCCCTCTCGACGATTGATCTGTCGCCGAACGGACTCGGGACCCCCGATGTCGGCGTCGAGCGGCACTTGCGCCCGCCGGCGCGCCCCACGGCTGGAGCCGAAGCCCAGAGGCGATGACGAGCAGGCCGCGTGCACGCGGCATACAGGGAGCAGCGTCACCAGTCAGTCCCTGGATCCCCGATCATTTCCCATGGCCTATGGGGGGCCCACTAGAAAGATACACCACCACCACCACCTCCCTCACCCCCTCCCTCTCCCAGGAAAGAGGAAGAGAAGAGGAGGGTAGAGGAGGGAGGAGGAATCGACGTGGTGGCGGTGTATATTCTTGGGCCCCCCCAGCATAGATCAAAGGTTCTCAGGCGCCCCAAGTCGGTCGAAGTATACGAGCCAGTGGACCGCGCCGCGTCGGCGTGGAGGAAATCGGCTCCACACCGAGACGCATCGACGATGCGCGACTCACTAACCTCGTCTACTTCGACCTTCGACCCCGCCCGGGTGGTCTGCAGCGCGGGATCCCCCGATGCCCCCGGTGGCAGCGCCGAGAGTGCGGGGCGGGGACCATCTATCCACGTCCACCGCCCGTGGAAACGACGCCCTGGGACGCCAGCGGGCAGTGCGGGTGTAGACACAATCGGGCCCCGGGAGGCCCGACCATATGTCTGCACCCAGGGCCTGTCGAAGCCTCCAGAGGTCGAGCCGCCCGAGCCGGAGAGAGGCACCTCGAGCCCGCCAGAGCCTCGTCTCGACCAGCAGGTCTCGGGTCGGGCGACAGGGGGGGATAGCAAAGGGGGAGTCTGAGAATCAGCTCACGCGGCTGCTTTTCCCGGCGCCTCCCGGCGCCCGTGTATCGAGGAATGGGCCCCTCGGTGAGGCCGAAGCCAGCTGCATGCAGCAAATTTCGTAGCCCCCCCTTTCCCAATCCCCCCCTTTCGTCCGGCCCGACTTTTCTGGTCGCGGACACGGCGGACGCCCGAGCCGGTCGGGCAAGCACAAGGCCTCCCCGGAGATCCTGGCCGGGCCACTCTTTTTTCGCAGCGGGCGTTTTCGCCCAGTGTCCGGCCCCGGGGCCCTCGCAAGTCGATCCGGCTCGACAGAATGCTGCAACACAAATTGGGTCGGGGGCTCCGTAGCTTTTTCTCTTCTTTTTTTTTTCCTTTCGTCCGGCCCGAAGGTCGAAGCCCAAAGGATACCCCCCTCCTCCTCCTCCTACTCCTCCTCCTCCTCCTCCTCCTCCTCCTCCTCCTCCTCCTCCTCCTCCTCCTCCTCCTCCTCCTCCTCCTCCTCCTCCTCCTCCTCCCCCCTTTCCCAATCCCCCCCTTGCGTCCGGCCCGAAGGCCGAAGCCCAAAGGATACCCCCAGAGGCAGGCGACGGGCCGGGCGCACGGGGGGGGGGGGGCCGGGCCGGAGGACCCGCCGGAGGCCGCCGGGCCGAGGCCCGCCGAGGCCGAGAGGGCCCTCCGGCCTCCGAGCCCGCGGGGAGTCGTCGGTCGTCGTTGGTCGTCGTCGCCGCCGCCGTCGTCTTCGTCGTCGTTTTCGTCGTCGTCGTCGCCGTCGTCGCCGTCGTCGACCATCGTCGTCGTCGTGAGTCGTCGGACGCCGTTGTTGTCGTGGTCGCCGTGGTCGTCGCCGTCGTCGCTGCCGTGGTCGTCGCCGCCGGTCGCCGCCGCCGCTGCCGACGACGACGCGCCGATCGCCGCGTGCGGGGGTGCATCCCTGGAGATCCGATGTCGTGACTTTGTCCATGGGTGTTTGCAATCCTTGGGTTTTTTTGCAATCCTTGGGTTTTTTTTTTGTTTGCAATCCTTGGGTTTTTTTTTGCAATCCTTCGTTTTTTTGCAATCCTTCATTTTTTTGCAATCCTTCGTTTTTTTGCAATCCTTCGTTTTTTTGCAATCCTTCGTTTTTTTGCAATCCTTCGGTCCCCGGGACCGGCTCTTCACCCCGATGCCGTCCTGCTGGCACTGGCCTGGGCCGGGCGAGGGCCCCGTGGAGGCCGAACACGGCGAAACACCTCCGCCCTGAGGCTTGCCAGCTTTTGCCTCTCGGGGGGCCCCCTCTCGGGGGGGCCCCCGAGGGCCATCTTTTGCCTCTCGGGGGGGTCCCCTCTCGGGGGGCCCCCCGAGGGCCCCGTGGAGGCCGGAAGCTGCGAAACACCTCCGCCTGGGTTTCTGCCACAGTTTGCATCTCGGGGGGCCCCCAGAGCCCCGTGGAGGCCAGAAACCGCGAAACACCTCCGCCTGGGTCTTGGCCACATTCTGCATCTCGGGGGCGCCCCCAGGGCCCCGTAGAGGCCGGAAGCTGCGAAACACCCCCGTCTTGATGCTTGCCATCTTTTGCCTCTCGGGGGGCCCCCGAGGGCCCCGTGGAGGCCGGAAGCCGCGAAACACCTCCGCCCGGGTTTCTGCCACCGTCTGCCTCTCGGGGGGCCCCCGGTCGAGCCCGCCGCCTCGCCCGGCGCGCGGTCGTTGAGGACGGGCGCGCCCCAGGAGACGGGCGGGGCGGTCCTGCGGAGGCCGCGCGGGCGCCCCTCCGGCAGGCCTGCCCTCGGCCCCTCGGAGGGTCGAGGGGGGGCCCGAACTCCGACGAGGCCAGAGATCCAACGTATTGAAAAAATCAAGACGGAGGTTTTTCTCAAATTTCGGCCCCTAGGGGCCCTCGCCGGGCCTCGGGGCCGTCAAAAAACGACTCAGAACGAAAAACCGGTCCTGGGGAATGGGTCGAGACTTCCGGGGACCCCGTGTTGAAAAAATCACGACAGCGGATCTCTGGGATGCTGGCTGGGAGTCGGACCTGTCCTCCTACAGGGGGATCTCGGACGCAGGAGTAAGAATAGTCAAGAAAGACCCCCAGATGACAAACAAAAATCAACCATCGTCCCCAGACGATGCTGTAAGTCGGACCTGTCCTCCTACAGGGGGATTTTGGGCGAAAGGATGAAAATCCGCCGACCCTGTCGGCGTGTGTGAGGGGCTTGTCCGCTCAAGTCGTCATCTCCGTCATTCGTGGCCCTCCCCCGCCCGGGGGGGTGGTGCGGGGGAGGGTCCCGGGGGGGGGGGAGGGGGTCAGACACGACGCCCCCCTCTGGGAGTCCCAGAGCCCCAAAAAGCCTTAAGACGGGCCAAGAGTGCCCCAAGAAGCCCCAGAGACTGTCCAAGAGAACCCCGAATCGCCGAACGATCTGTCCAAGACTCCTTGACGGCCTCCAGACGGCCCCAGAGGCCTGCAAAGCGCCCCGAGAGGCCTCCAGGAGCTTTCCCACGAGAGCCCCAAGAGGCAAAATCAATGGATTTCCCTTACGTTTTTGAAAGATTTTGGCGCTCTTGCCTCTTCCGCTTCCCGACGCGCCAAGACGGCCCAAGAGGCCCCGAACATCGCCCCGAGACGGCCCAAGAGGCCCCCAAGAGGGTCCCTCCACGGCCGAAGAGGGCCCCAAGACGGCCCAAGACGCCTCCAAGACGGCCCAAGAGGCCCCCAAGACGGCTCCAGGAGAGTGCCCAGACGGGGGGCCCGAACGGACATGTCGAGATCCCAACCCCAAGAGACCCCCAAGAGGCCCCAAAGAAGCCCCAAGAGGCTCCCAAGGAGCCCCCAAACTGCCCCAAGACAGCCCAGGAGAGCCCCAAATTGCCCAGGAGGCCTCCAAGAGTGCCTCGAGACGGCGCAAGAGGAGCCCTGGACGGCCCAAGACGGCCTCAAGAGAGCCCCAGGCTGTCCCAAGAAAGCCTCTGGCCTTCTCCTCTTCTTCCTCCTCCTCCTCCTCCTCCACCTCCTCCTCCTCCTCCTCCTCCTCCTCCTCCTCCTCCCCCTCCCCCCCCTCTGCTCCCCCTCCTCCTGCTCTCCTCTGCCTCCTTCTCCTCCTCTTGCTTCTCCTCCACATCCTTCTCCCCCCTCCTCCTCCCTCATCCACCTCCTCCACCCTTCCTCCACCTCCCACTCATCCTCCTCCCCCTGCCCCCCCCCCTCGTTTTCATCTTCGTCGTTCTCATGTCGGGCGCGCCAGCCGTAAGGCTTCGCAATAGTTCACTAATACCCAAATGACACAAATAATTGAATCGTCCCCAGAACGATTTTTCCCTACCTAGGCTCTGCCTAGAAGGGTTCTTACTCTCTTGGCTTCAAGGGCCGGGCAGTGGGAACCGGCCCGGGCGGTTCCCCCTGTATCCGCCCCGCGGTTCCCCCAGCTACGTCCCCTTAGCGTAGCGTTGCTTATCTCATCTCAACTTAACCTGGCTTAACTTAGCTTAACTTAGCCTAGCTTAGCTTAGCCTAGCCTAGCTTAGCTTAGCCTAGCTTAGCCTAAGCTTAGCTTAGCTTAGCTCAGCTTAGCGCAGCATTAGCAGCATCAAAATATACCATATCATACAATAACATATTCATGCTGTCATACATGGCGATCGCATAAGCGCTGTTATCATAGCGCAAGCATATATCATATCATATCATATCAACACATATCATGCATACTCGCCTATCAGAGCATAGCTTAGCTTATAATAGCAATAACGCAGCGCCAGCATAAAGCATAGCATATCATAGCATAGCATAGTCTAGCGCAGCCTAGCATAGCATGCATAGTCATAGCGCTGCATAGCATAACATAGCATAGCGCGCATAGCAATGGGCATTCATAGCATAGCATAGCATAGCGTACGTGCGCAGCATATCATAATTAGCATGCCGAGCATAGCATATCATAGCATGGCGCAGCATAGCATAGCATAGCATAGCATAGCATAGCATAGCGCAGCATATCATAACATAACATATCATGGCGCAACATAGCATATCATAGCATAGCCTAGCATAGCACAGCGCAGCCGAGCGTACCCTAGCATAGCATAGCATAGCGCAGCATAGTACAGCATAGCAAAGCATAGCATAGCATAGCATAGCGCAGCATAGCATAGCATAGCATAGCAGCAAAGCAAAGGCAAAGCAAAAGCAGCAGCAGCAGCAAAGCAAAGCACAAGCAACGCAAAGCCGGACCTGCAGTGCTGAACAGCCTGCAGCTCTTGCAGGAGCCGCGAGCAGTGCTGAACAGCCTGCAGCTCTTGCAAGCAGTGCTGAACAGCCTGCAGCTCTTGCAGGAGCCGCGGGCGCGGGCTGTGCCAAAACATGCGAGCAGTGTAAATATAGATTTTAGATGTAGGTGTAGGTGTAGATGTGGATGTAGGTGTAGATGTAGATGTACATGTAGGTGTAGATGTAGATGTGAGTGTAGTTGTAGATGTAGATGTAGATGCATGTGCACATGTAGATGTAGCTGTAGGTGTAGATGTGGATGTAGGTCTAGATCTAGATGTAGGTATTAAGCTGTACTTTCACTACTACTACTACTACTACTGCTACTACTACTACTACTGCTACTACTACTACTACTACTACTACGATGACTATTATGCTGACTGCGCCTACTACACTACTACTGACTACTAACTACTACGACAACGACGAACGACGACGACACGACGAACGCCGATGAAGACGACCGACTACTACTACTACTCTACTACTACTTACACTACGACCCTACTTACTACACCTGCTGTTACTACTACTACTACTACTGGACTACTACTACTACTACTACTACTACTACTACTCTACTACTACTACTACTAGGGGGGGGGCGCTACGCCTACGAACTGGGACGACTACTACTACTACCTACTACTACTACTACTACTACTACTACTTCTACTACTACTAACCTAACTACTACTACTGCTGCTACTACTACTACTACTACTTACTACTCTACTACGACGACGACGACACGACGACGACGACGACGACCGACGACTACGACTACGACTCTACTAACAACTTCTACTACGACTACGACTACGACTACGACTTCTACTACGACTACGACTACGACTACTACTACTACTACTACTACTACTACTACTACTACTACTACTACTACTACTACTACCACTACCACTACTACTACTACCACTACCACTACTACTACCACTACTACTACTACTACTACTACTACTACTACTACTACTACTACCGCTACCGCTACTGCTACAACTGCGACGATGAGGAGAAGGAGGAGGAGGACGGCGTTTACCGTTATTACTAATATTGCTCTCCTCGGGGCTCCAACTCCTAGGTAGGGTCGCTCTGGGACAATTTGACTATGTTTGAATGTCCCCCCTGTAGATGGACAGGGCCGACTTAATGCTAGTTCTTCGATGTGGGTGCGTGCGTACACGGCGACGCTGATACATGCGTCAGATGGTAGGAGCCCGACCACCTTCCACAAGAAGCCCAACTCTGAGACCCCAGGGCGTCCATGGATTTTGGGTGTGGGAGCGTCACGCTCTCCACAGCAAAACCATCGAAAGCCAAGAAACCCAGGGCACCCTGGAGGCAAGCAGGGTGTTTCCCAGCACGGGCTCCCATTGTATAATGTCATCGATGACGTCCATCCAGGTGGCCAGTCAGCGGGGCATCCCCAGGGCCACGGACGCACTTCAGCACAGATAAGGCAGCGGCACGCTCTGCGGGGGGCAAGATTTGCCGAAGGAACGCATCTCCGATGAGGGAAGTGAGCCACTCCCCACTCACTCCCTCTCTTCCTCGTCTTCCTTTGCGTCGTCACTCCGTCCATCCATTCTTCCTTTGACCCAGTGGTTGACGCCAGAACCTGGCCACAAGGACATCCGAGCAGAAGCGGGACACCTGCGCAGGAGGTCGGTGTGCCGGGTGACTGCGAGGGGGGGGGGGGCCATGCAGGGGACGCCACAGACGGCCTAGGGCCTAGGGGTGCAGACAGGAAGGCCCCACCTCAGTCTTCCACGGGCGACAGACGACCTGCAAAGTGATGACACCATGCGCTCTGTTTCATCGTCTCGCCACTGCCCGCTTGCGCACCCTGAAGAACACTGCATCCCGCGGTCTCCTGCCCTCCTCCTCCTCCTCCTCCTCCTCCTCCTCCTCCTCCTCCTCCTCCTGCTCCCCCTCCTCCTCCCCCTCCTCCTCCTCCTCCTCCTCCTCCACCGAGCCGCGGGACGCACAATGTGCTCGGCCTCCTCTCTCGCCCCCTGGGTCCTCGACTTCGGCGACTGCTCGCCGTGCGAACCCTGCGGCGCCTTGGGGCTCAGCACCGCCTGCGCTTTCGCCGACTCCTCCTGCGCTCTCGCTAACTCCTCCTGCTCCTTGTGGAACCGCATGGTATCCAGCGTCTTGAGGTGGCAGTTGTGGATGAGCATGTACTTCGGGAACTGCACGAGCCCACCTGCAGGAGCGACGGGGGGCGAGATCGTGCAGCCCACAGCGTTGCTGACTGCAGAGGGCTGGCTGACGCCTTCTGTGCCCTCTCAGCGCCCCTCAAACGGGGACTCCACTAACGGGTACTTTGGCCAGTGACCCAGCGAACCCAACCCTTCCCGATGCGGGCAACGCTGCATTGCCAGAAAGAGGCCCTGAAGTGGCAACTTTCGGCAAAATTGCAAAGTACCCGTTAGTAAGTACCCGTTACGCAACGCCCAACCCTCGTGGGGCCCTCAGACCCCCGGGAGCTTCCCAACCACCGTGGCGGCCAGTGTCTCGCCGCTCGCTCTCGGCCCCCGGAGGCCGTGCCCCTGCGCGGGGGCCGCGAGGGCACGGCCCGGGGTGCGAAGGCCTCCCCCGGGGGGAAGGGTCCGGATCACGACGGACTCCTCCTCCTCCTCCCCCTCCTCCTCCTCCTCCGCCTCCTCCTCTTTTCCCTCCTCCTCCTCCTCCTCCATCCTCCTCCTCCTCCTCCTCCTCCTCCTCCTCCTCCTCCTCCTCCTCCTCCTCCTCCTCCTCCTCCTCCTCCTCCTCCCCCCCCCCCGCCTCCTCCCCGGTGCCACGGCACACCACTCGGCGCCGCACGCGCCCTCCGAGCCGGGCGCGGCCAAAGAAAATAGGTCGCGGCGGCCAGTTGCGCGTCGTGCTCGGCCTCGGGGAGCCGCCTTCCTCGCCCTGGGACCGTCAGGAAGCGACTCCAGACGACGAGCCTGCCCCTAGAGAGGCGGTCCAGCTCCCCATGCGCCGGTGTCACGAGCAAGCTGCCGCGTCGGAGGAGAGGGCACTCGCCTTCACGCAATCCGGCGGCTACACGGATGGAGGGCGGCCCAGCTTCAGAGTGTGACTCTCGCTGAAGCGCCTGGCAGATTCGCCTCAACAGCTTCCAGCACTTATGAAGGGGCCCTGGGACACACAAACAAATAGACACAAATAGTAGGATTCCCCACATTCCAGATTTCCCATATTTTCTGGGGAATCGACGATTCATTGTGTCTCCGTGTGTTTCTTTCCCTCCTGAACTGACGCAGATGGCGGGCGGCTCCGTTTCGAAATGGTGGCCTGGGGGGGGGGGGCGGCCGAGATCCCCCAGGGGGCCGGCGGCCCGAAAGAGTCGCAAGGCCGCAGGAAGAGGGGAAGGGCCGCAGCCTGTCAAAATCCGTAGATGAATCTATGATCCCAGACCCCCTCGAGTAATGAAAAAATCATGACGGGAGGTTTTTCGCCATTTTCGGCCTCTGGGGGCCCTCACCGGGCCTCGGGAGCGTCAAAAAACGATTCAGGGTGACAAACCGGTCCTGGGGAAGGGGTCGAGAACTCTGGGGTCGACGTAATGAAAAATTCATTACGTCGGGGGTCTGGGATTGTTGCCTTCCCGTCATTTTCACTTCTGATGGGCTTTCCGACGCCTCAAGACAGCTCCAAGAGGGAGGGGAAGGGCGCACAGAGCGCGTCGTTTCGGAAGCGGGGCCCACCCGTCGTCTGGAACGAGCGTGGCTGCGCCGGCGGCGCCGCGGCCGGCTGCCTGCGCTCGAGCGGCTGCTTCATCTCCGTCCTTAGCTGCCCCGATGCGCAACACGCAGGCCGTGGCGCCTGCAGAGCTCAGCCCGTAGGCTGAGAGCGAAGGTCTGGCGCGATACGCTCGCCAAAGCGTGGCCAACACGTGCCGAGCCAACACGCAACGCGACCCTTCTTGATAGCTGCAGCACCGCCCAAAGATCCGACGTCGTGATTTTCTCCATACGCGGTCCCCAGGAGTCTCGACCTAGTCCCCAGGACCGGCGTTTCATCCTGAGTCGCGGGATCCGGCGAAGGCCCCCAGAGGCCGAAAGCTCAGAAAAACCTCCGTTTTGATTTTCTCAATACGGTGAATCCCTGGGTACGTGTTGCGTTCCAACACGGGCGTATCAGGGCAGCTAAGTCTCCGTCTTCTCGGTGAGGGCCGCCAGTTTGTCCAGCCGCCTCAGCTCCGTCGCCACGGGGTGGCAGTCCATCAGGTGTTCCTGCGCGCCCTCCTGCTTCAGCGTCGGGAGGGACTCGCGGGGAGTCTTATTCCCTCTTTCTTCGCCTGCTCATCCTCCCCCTGCTGCTCCTCCTCCTCCTGCTCCTCCTCCTGCTCCCCCTCTCCTCCTCCTCCTACCTCTCCTCCTCCTCCTCCTCCTCCTCTCCTCCTCCTCCTCCTCCTCCTCCTCCTCTTCTCTCTCCTCCTCTTCCTCCTCCTCCTCCTCCTCCTCCTCCTCCTCGCCATCCTCCTCCCATTGCCCTTCTCCTCCTCCTCCGCCTCTCCTCCTCTTCTCTCCGCCTCCGCCTCCTCCTCCTCCTCCTCCCCTCCTCCTCCTCCTCCCTCCTCCTCCTCCTCCCCTCCTCCTCCTCCCCTCCTCCTCCTCCTCCTCCTCTCCTCCTCCTCCTTCCTCCTCCTCTCCTCCTCCTCCTCCTCTTCCTCCTCCTACCTCCTCCTCCTCCTCTCTCGTCCTCCTCCCTCCTCCTCCTCCTCCTCCTCCTCCTCCTCCTCCTCCTCAAACACTCCTCCTCCTCCTCTTCCTCCTCCTCATCTCCTCCCCCCCGTCGTTATTATCCTCCGATTCCTCTCTCTCCCCCTCCTTTTCTTCGTCCTCGTCCTCGTCCTCCTCCTCCTCCTTTCCCCTTGTTTTTCCTGCTCCCCGTCCCCTCCTCCATCCCTGTTTTGTGTTTGTTCCCCCGAGTCGCACCACCAGCCGCGTCGATGGGGCGGCCTGAACGGTCTGCCTGACGCGAAACGTTTTCGGCGCAGCTGCTCGGACAGAATGCGGCCTGGCCCGCTCTCTCGAAACGTGGCTCTCGCCGTCGGCGCCGCACGCACCCTCAGAGCCGGGCACTGCCAAAAAATATATCGCGACGGCCAGTTGCTCGTCGTGCTCGGCCTCGGGGAACCGTTTCCCCGCCCTCGGACCGTCAGGAAGCGACTCAGGACGACGAGCCTGCCGTGGGGGGCGGTCCAGCTCCCCATGCTCCAGTGTCACGAGCAAGCTGCAGCGTCGGAGGAGAAGGCGGCTACACAGATGGAGGGCGGCCCAGCTTCAAAGTGTGACTTTCGCTGAAGCTCCGCGCAGATTCGCCTCAACAGCTTCCAGCACTCACGCAGATGGCGGGCGGCTCCTTCTTTCAATGGTGTTCTCTTCTAGCACTCCCTGAATGCGCGATAGCGCCAGACTTGCATACTGGCTAAACTTAAGAAGGATGGTTCCTTTCTCCAAAAAAGAGGCTATCGCTCAAGCCCCGTCGGGCTCGTTCAGGTCGCGGCTGAGAAACAGATGCAGGGCAACGCCAACTGGCGCCTCACCGATTCCAGGGACGCTAAGCACGGCGAGCCCCCGCCTCCGCAATGATGGGTAAAACGCTCGGAGTGCATTCAAGATGCGCGAGCCGACGTCCGCTGGAGTGATCGGGGCGAACAAATGCGTCTGCGCCAGACTCTGTCGCCCGCTGAACGCGCCCAGAGCTTTCTCCACGAGAAGCCTCTGCCAGTTCGCAGTGGGTGAGTCAGGTGTATTGCGAATATTATTTGCGGCCCAAATCGCCTGCTTGAGAGTCGCGTTCGCCCGCGGACCCTCGGCGATGATAGATTCGAATCCATCATGAGCGGCATCGTCGTCGGCGAGAGGGTCTTCTTTGTCCGCGGGAGCTCCAAGCCCGTAGGCTCGGATCTGGTATCCGCCGAGGTTCTCCATGCGCCCGGTGAATGCTTCGAGACCGATCTTTGCGCGGGACGCGGCCGCGCCCCGCGTTATCGCGCGGGGCACGCCGCTGCAGGCCTTCAGCAGCATGTCCCGCTTCTGCCTGTCTTGAAAACTCGAAGTTCTTCGTAATAGTTGCTTTGCCGTTTGGGCTGGTCCACGATGTGCGAGGACATCCGGTAAGACGCCGCAAGGGGGTGGGCCGCGCTGAACGGCGCGGGAGCCTCGCCGAGCTTCTTCGCATTGCCCAACGTCGTCAGTAGCTCCTCGGGCGCGCCGCCGTCGTAGATCGACGACGTGCTTCGCCCCGCTGTTGTTGAACGTGTCGGGGGCGCGATCAGGAACTGGCATGCTGGGAGCGTAATCGGGTATCTCGGACGCATTAAATATCGTTCTGCGAACGAGAGTCCGTCGCACAAGATTCTCGATTGCCGCTTTTGCCTGGGCGAACGCTACGTTCTCTCCTGGAACGGCCATGCCGCCGACTGCACCAGCGCAACTGCTATCCGCGTGGTTTGGGCCAAAATCGCTGCAGGAAAGCTACGGTCAGGTATTGTCTCGCGCGCCCGCGCTGTCCCCCGTTGCCCCTCGCGCCTCCCTGCTGGCCCCATCGCGCCCTCCCTCGCCGTGCCCCGCTGCCCTCTTCGCTCCCTGCAACCCCCCCTAGGTCCGTGAGTTTTAGAGTCGTTGTAATATTTGGAATCGATCGCATCGCGATGACGTGTATTGATCTTACGAATGCGCCTTCGAGAACAAAAAAGAAGGGGGGCACTGTCGGACCCCGCTCGTCGCGCGTTTTGCCCGAGCCCCTCGGCCATGATTCTGGGCATCGATCGCTTCGCGATGACGCGTGCTGATCTGGCGACTGCGCATTCGAGAAAAGAGAAAGAGGGGGATCCGATGTCGGATCCCCCTCTTTGGTCGCTTTGCCCTAGCCTCTTGGCTCGTTTCGCTCAGGGGGGAAGAGGGAAGGTGGGGGAGAGCAGCGAGGTGGAGTTGTTGCAAGCCGCTCGTTTCTGTTGTCGGCTAAGCCCAGCGCCGCGGGGCGCGGCTACAGCGTGAGCGCGCTGTCTTCACTGCGCACCCAAGGGGCCGTCCCTGACGAAGCGGCGCCAGTTGGGGTTCGGGCCCGTGGCGCAGCACCAGCAGCGCGCCACCTCGGCGGGCTCGGCGAGCCGGGCGAAGCGGTTCCGCTGGGAGGTCAGCTTCTAGAGCTTCTCCCGCGGGGGCGGGCGAGCCCAAAGGTGTCCGCAGCTCAAACAGCGAGGCTGTCTAGGAGAAGCAGAGGGAGCGAGGGAAAGGGAGCCCGAAAGGCAAAGGTGGGCGAGCCCTTTCTCTGTGGCGGCCCTTGTTCTTTGTGTGCTCTTCCTGCTCCTGCCTTGTCTTCTCCGCTTCCTCCTTGTTTTTTCTGCTCGGCCTTTTCGGGCTTCTTCCGAAGCTTGACGCGATTTTCCTCGAGCGTTTTCGCCTTTTCGGCCAGGGGCCGCAGCGTGCTGACCAAGCCCTTGTGTTTGTTAAGGACATTCGTGGCGAAGTCGGCCCGCCTGTTGGCCTCATTCGCATTTCCCATGTACTTCGACACCGCCCACTTGAGCTCCCGAGCCACCTCTCTGGCCTTCGCCACTCACGTCGCTTTCACCCGCGGCTTCCTGATCCACCACTCGAACGAAGCCTTGCGCTTCCGATCGCGCGTCGCGATCGCTTTCCGCAGGCGCGCGGCGACAGATGATGCACGCATAGCACGACCCGGCAAAGTTCGAGCGAGATCCATCGGCTTGAACAAAATACCGACGCAATCGTCATCACCACCATAAACATCATCATCGTCGTCATCATCATCGCCGTCGCCACCACCATCGTCATCATCATCACCGTCGTCGTCAGCATCATCGTCATCATCACCAGCATACTCAGCATCAGCATAATCATGCTTTTAAAAATGCGGCGGGACCACACATTAAGTTACACAAGCACACTCATATCCATGTGTGCAACAACCATGCACATCACGACCTCGCCACGCTACGTCCATCGTTTCACTCATATGGTTTGGTTTGCAACGTCGGCAGCGAAACCACGTACGTGCTCGCCCTCCCCTCCGGCCCCACCCCCCAAGTTTTGAGGGAGGAGGAGAAAGAGGAGGAGGGCGACGAGAAAGAGAAGGGAAGGGCGACACAGGAGAAGTAATGGGGTCTCCTCCTCCTCCTCCTCGTCCTCCTTTTTTCCTCTCCTCCCCCTCATCCCCCTCCTCGTGTCCCCCGCTGTCTCCTGGTGTTCCAGGCTGGCTCCTCGCGTTTCCAGCGCTGCGGCAGCTGGAAAGTACAGTACTGTAAGATCAAATGTTCCAATTCTTCGGCGCCGGAACTTGTTCGATGTTGCTGGCGGTTTGGCGCCAGAGAATGAGAAAACTTCGAAAGTTGGAATCTACAGCACTTTCTGCCTGCCTTACCATGGTTTCCCAGCCTCTGGTTTGACACGAGACGCCACGAGCAGAGCGGGAGGGAGAGGAGGATGAGGAGGAGCCAGCTCGAAAGGACGAACTGAATTGATCGGGCGCTCTCCGACACCCAAGTTGGAAAATGCTGAAAACGGCCAGGCCTACATCCAGCCGGGCGCCACTCCTCGTCCCTCGTCCTCCTCCTCCTCCTCCTCCTCCTGCTCCTCCGCCTCCTCCTCCTCCTCCTCCTCCCTCCTCCTCCTGCCTGCCGCCTGCTCCTCCTCTCCTCCTCCTCTTCCACTCTCCTCCCTCCCCATTCCCTCCTCCCTCACTCCCCTCCTCCTTCCTCCTCATTCCTCATACTTCTTCCCTCCTTCCCTCCCTCTCTCCTCTCCTCCTCCTCCTCCTCCTCCTCCCTCTCCCCAACTCCTCCCCCTCCTCCTGCCTCCTCTCCTCCTCCTCTCCTCTCCATCCACCTCTCCTCCTCCTCCTCCTCCGCATCCTCCTCCCCTCCTCCTCCTCCTCCTCCTCCTCCTCCTCCCCTTCTCTCCTCCTCCTTCTCCTCGCTCTCCTCCTCCTCTTCCTCCTCCTCCTCCTCCTCCTCCTCCTCCTCCCCTACTGTTCCCCTCCCTCGTCCCTCCCTCCCTCTTCCCTCCTCCCTCTTCTCCCTCCTCCCTCTTCCCTCCTCCCCCTCCCTTCTCCTCCTCCTCCTCCTCCTCGTCCTCCTCGTCCTCCTCGTCCTCCTCGTCCTCCTGTCCTCCTCGTACACCTCCTCGTCCTCCTCCTCCTCCTCCTCCTCCTCCTTCTCCTCCTCCCCTCCTCCTCCTCTCCTCCTCCTCGTCCTCCTCCTCCCTCCTCCTCCTCCTCCTCTCCTCATCCTCCTCATCCTCTTCCTCTTCCTCCTCCTCCTCCTCCTCCTCCTCCGCTTCCGCCGCCTCCTCCTCCTCCTCCTCCTCCTCCTCCTCTCCTCTCCTCCTCCCTCCTCCTCCTCCTCCTCCTCCTCCTCCTCCGCCTCCTCCTTCTCCTCGTCCGTTTCGTCTTCCTCCTCCTCCTCTCCTCCTCCTCGTCTCCTCTGCTCCCCTATCTTCTTCCCCCCCTTCCCTCCCCCCTCCTCCCCCTCCTCCTCCTCCTCCTCCTCCTCCTCCACCTCTTATTGTTCTTATTATTCGTATTATTAGTGTTATGATTATGCTTCTTATTCTTATTATTAATAGTATTCTTAGTAGTCTTAGTCTGCTTCGTCTTATTCTTAGTGTTATTTTTTAGTATTCGTGGTAGTATTCTTATTCTTACTAGTACCCTTCGTATTATTATGTTTCGTAGTATTCGTCTGCTTCTTCTTATTAATATTAGTAGTAGTAGTAGTAGTAGTAGTAGTAGTAGTAGTAGTAGTAGTAGTAGTAGTAGTAGTAGTAGTAGTAGTAGTAGTAGTAGTAGTAGTAGTAGTAGTAGTATCCGTCTTCGTATTAGCCTTCGTAATATTATTCGTCTTATCACTTTATTATTATTATTCTTATTATTATGATTATTATTATTCTTACTATTATTATTATTATTATTATTGTTAATATTATTATTAGCATTATTATTATTATTCCTCCTCCTCCTCCTCTTCCTCCTCCCCCTCCCCCTCCCGCCCTCCTCTTCCTCCTCCCCCTCCTCCTCTCCCCTCCGCCCTCCTCCTTCCTCACTCCTCCTCCTCCTCCTCCCCACCCTTTCTCCTCCTCTCCTCCTCCTCCTCCTCCTCCTCTCCTCATCCTCCTCCCTCCTCCTCTCCTACTCCTCCTCCGCTTTCCTTTCTTCTCGCCTCCTCCGCCTCATGTGCCTCCTCCTCCTCCTCCTCCTCCTCCTCTCTTCCTTTCTTCCTCCAAATCTGCCTCCTCCGCCTCCTCCTCCTCCTCATGTTCCTGCCTCCTCCTCCTTTTCCTCTCCCCCTCCTCCTCCTCCTCCCCTCCCTCCTCCTCCTCTCCTCCTCCTCCTCCTCCTCCTCCTCTCCTCCCCCTCCTCCCCCTCCTCCCCCTCCTCCTCCTCCTCCTCCTCTCCTCCATCCTTCCTTCCACCTCCTCCTCCTCCTCCTCCTCCTCCCCCTCCTCCCCCTCCTCCCCCTCCTCCTGCTCTCTTACGCTCTCTCCTCCTCCTCCTCCTCCTCCTCCTCCTCCTCCTCCTCCTCCTCCTCCTCCTCCTCCCCCTCTAGCTCGGCGGAGGCGTGGGTCTTCATAGGGCGGAGGCCCGCGGAGGGGAAGAGATCGCCGCCTTCGGCCTCCGCATGCTGTGCGAGCCTTCGTGCAGCGCCCCGAAGCTCGCCGCCTGCCCCTCCCGCCGGCTGGCGGGGCCACCGGGGTCGACCTCCCGGCAGGGCCCACGGGCGGCCCAGGGGGGGGGGGGGCGCGGCGGAGGAAGGAGGAGGAAGGAGGAGGGAGGAGGGAGGGAAGGATTTGTTTAGACATCAGCGCACAGCTACCCAACGATACAACAATCGGGCGGACGAGCACCGCCTGAGGTCGCTCCCTGGCGAGAAAAGCCACCGCCACTCGGGCGCAAGAGAGGGCGCCGTGGGCGAGGCCCGCCTCCCCCCGAAAAGGGGGGGGCCAGGGCTGAGACTGTGCAAAGCCGAGACCACGCCTGCGGCAGCAGGCAGGACGTGCACGCTCCGAGACCGCGTCGCGCCGCGCAACAGATAGAGAAATGGGGCGACCTCGCCTCGGCGAGCGCCGCCTCGGGGAGGGGGCCTCGCGAGTTCCTCTCGGAGCGCCCACTATGGCCCCCATCCCTTCGCGGATCGACCCTCGGCTCGGCCGCCAACAGCAGGGCTTCCGTCGGCTGCGCAAGACAAAAGCTACTGCTGCGCGCCTTGAAAGCAGTCCTAGGAGGAGGAGGAGGAGGAGGAGGAGGAGGAGGAGGAGGAGGAGGAGGAGGAGGGGAGGAGGAGGAGGAGGAGGAGGAGGAGGAGGAGGAGGAGGAAGGACTGTGCAGAACCAGGAGGGGGCCCAAGGGCGGGAGGCGACGGGGTGCACAGGTCGGGGAGGACAGGGGCAGACCTCCCCCGTGCCCCGACGCCCTCGGCGTATAAGGCGGCCCCCCTGTGCAAGGGTCACCGCAGGGGGAGAAGTACCTCCAGCGCCCCACGGCCGTGCGAGCAGGGGGAAGTGGACATCACGCAGCAGTGAAGAGGACGGCCTCGGGGACCCCAGGTCGAGCCCGCCGCGCGAGTCCAGCGACCGCGACAGTGGAGACTGAGCGGCCCCCCTGAGCAACAGTCACCGCAGGGGGAGATTAACCTCCAGCGCGCCACGGCCGTGCAAGCAAGGGGAGGTGGACAGCACGCAGCAGTGAAAAGGGCGGCCTCAGGGGACCCCAGATCGAACTCGCCGCGCGAGTCCAACGACCGCCACACATTGGAAAATAGAGCGGCCCCCCTGTGCAGCTGTCACCGCAGGGGGAGAATTACCTCCAGCGCCCCACGGCCGTGCAAGCAGGGAGAGTGGACACACACGCAGCAGTGAACAGGACCTCCACGGGGACCCCAGATCGAACCCGCCGCGCAGGTCCAGAGACCGCAGAACAAGCTGACACACATAAAGAAGAAAAGCTGAGCGCGCAAAACGAGTCTTCAGTCCGAGTCTGAAAAATCCCTCCCCCGCTCCAGCCCCCAACCAACTACATCTGCTGACGAGCGCTCGGCACCACTTAGCGCAGGCGGCTGCAGAACCGCAGCCGCAGCAACAGGGACGGCCGCCGCACTCGATGCGACACTTGGAGCTCCCGCGGCACCGTCCTCCAGACGCTCAGTGCCGACTTCGGGTCGGAGCCCCCCGTCCAGGTCGTCGCACTCGTCGCCGCGGGGGACAGGGAGGTCAAGCGAGAGGGAACGTCCTGTGGAGGCAGCCTCCACAAGCCTGGGTGCCGTCGCCACACTGCGGAGAGCTGAGGCTCCGTCAGGAAAAGGAGGCACCGCACTTGCACTCCGACTGGCACCGTGGTCGAGACCTGGAGCAACACTGGGGAGCACAGGGGCGCCCACAGTCCAAAGGTCTCTGACTCGCGGGTGGGCGCCAGCCAGAACCTTATTGAGAACAGTCCTGCTGTGCCTGCTCAGCTTTGTGAGGCACCGACTCGCAGAGTTACTCTTGCACAGTACTCCCTGATGGAGGAACGCCCCCATTTTGAGGCATAAGAAACAATCCGAGCCATCAGAAACGTGAGACAACGCCGGTGTGTGGCCAGTCGACTCGGCCATATCCACGTCATGTGGATTTGGGCCAGCACGCTTGCCAGGCTCAGGCTTCACCGCGGACCTGGAGCCCAGCCTACAACGCACTCACCTCCAGACATTATCGAAACAGTGCCAGTCATGCTGCTCGTGTTGCTGCACATCCTTCGGGGCACGGGACGGCGCAACAAATTCAATACCACTCAAGTCAAGTCTCGGCCACCGCGGCAGCAGCCTACACACTGTCTTTGAGATGCGCACCAGCCTGTCGACAACCTCATGCTCTTCCTTCGACGCTCCGGGGTGGAGGAGAGCTCCCTCTCGCGCCGCCTGGTCAGCATGATCGTTGCCTTTTCTTCTAAACAACTCCTCGGGCTCAAGATCGGGATCGCCCACTGGAAGGTGAGCCCGAACTTTCGTGAGCGACTTGATGCGCGACACAGGATTGACAGATTGGAAAATGCCAGAGTACTTTCGCCTGTAAGAGAGCCGCTGAGATGGGGGCAGGCTGTGGTGACCCACCACAGCGGCACAGTCTGAATACACATGGCTGTATCCGACAGCCTGGAGAGACGCCATACCGAAGGCAGAAAACTCTGCCGCAGGAGCGGTCTACGGCAACGGGTGGTGCTCCCCTGGCACACACGCACACACACTCCAGCCAGCCCGACCTAAATTTACGATCGGATGTCTGAAGAACGACCCGTCGACAAACAGGCTCCCTTGCAAATCCCCATTCTCCCCCTCAGGATTGTTATTCGATCTGATCACCTGCCCACCGATCGACAGAGGCTTAGGCCAGAAGGACTCGGGATGGGCAAATATGCCCCTGATGAACAAAACAATACTCGAGGGGGGGAGGTCGCCATCAGATTCGGCGAGCACTGAGGCCGAGGCAAGCTCCGCGCGCTCCTCAGCGCACTCCTCGCACTGCCACAGCCGATGGAAGATCGAGTGTTTGGCCTTACAACAGAGCGGACAGAGATGCTGCTGCTCCGTCAGCACGTAGCCGAGCTTGGTCGCTCGTTCTGCTGTCCAGCAGCCGTCACACGCTAAACAGCGGATGGTCCCCCATTCAAGCGGTGAGTACTTCGTCGATTTGATCTGCGCTTTTACAATAGCAAATCAAGCTCTTCCCCATCCTCCCCCGATGTTACTCGCCGCCGAAACCTCAAGGAGCCTGATGATGGCCTTGTGGATGATGCCCCTGAGGAGCTGAGGGCTAATACACGTGAGAAGAATGTCCACACCGTTGTGGCCCCGAAGAACCACAAAACTCGGCATAGTCCACCCAAGACGTTTGACCGATAAGAACGAAGCCCCAACAGGCCCACCAACCGAGCTCCATTTCACTGGTTGACGTTTGGGGTGTTCGAAAATCGTGGAGCACGCTTTCCTCAAGTCCGAGAGGGAGGTGGAGTACAGGAACGAGTGACACTGGCCAGCCCATACTTATCTGCTCCAGCGCACGACGGGAGCAACTGCAGCATACCAACAAGGGTCGTAGAAGAAGGAGGGAGGAGGGAGGGAGGAGAAAGGAGGGTGTAGGGAGGAGGCAGGAGAAAAGAGGAAGGAGGAAGGAGGAACGAGGAAGGAGGAAGGAGGAAGGAGAAAGGAGGGAGGAGGGAGGAAGGAAGCAAGAGGAGGACGAGGCAGCCTCCCCCCCTCCAACAAGGGGGTGGAAGGCACAGGCGGGGGAGGGGGGCGCAGCGGGGGCAGCGAGGGAGGGGGGGGGGCAAGGTGAAGACGGACGGGCGTCCGAAGCTTCCTCCCTCCTCTGCCCTTGGAGGCCTAGAAATTGGCACCAACACCAACACAGGGGGGTTGCCTCCACAAGAGGAAGATGATCCTAGATTTCGGTGTTGGTGGCAATATTTCGGTCGCCTTGGACGCCAGAATATTACCACCATCACCGAAATCGGGATCTTCTTCCCTCGGCGGAGGCACACCGCCGATATTGGTGTTGGTGTCAACCTTTAGGCCTGCCATACCCCTCCCCACACCCATCCACGCTCCCCGTCTCCCCTTCCTCCCTGACCCCCAAAGGCACAGCTGCCAGTCCTTCTTGTACTGGTGGTGTGCCCAGTCTGACGTCGCTTCCCAGGCGAGGGCACCTCACACAAGGTGGCCCCATGGAGGGCGTCGGGCCTTTGGGATACCTGAAATATCAACTTGTCAACCGGTCACTGAGGGGATACTACTGCTGGGAGCGATCTGGGTGAACAGTGGCCCGAAGAGGGGCACTGCGACCAGATAGCACCGCATGCTGAACATACAGATGTGGTCGGTCGAAACTCTCGAATTCCCGAGCGCTTCGAGGTCCACGATGCTGGCGAAGTGGCGTGATTCTACCGAGACGTCTGTCTTGGACAGCGAGAAAACTGCACGTTGGAACGGACCGGCCCACATACAATGCGCGGTGTTGGAATAGAGCTGACTCGGAGATGCAAGCCTCGCTGCAGCGAGTGAGCCCTGATGCAGACGTAGGGGGTAGCCGAACCAAGCAGCTCCGCGGCAACCAGGCGCAAATCACAAAGTCTGGAGCAACCGCAATAAGCCGGACATCGAGCATACGCAACAGAACTCACACCAAGCGTGCACACCAGCATTATACAAGGCATAGCAGCGCCTTGACGCAGAAGAAGACTCGTGCACGACAACCTAGCAGGCCAAGGGGATGCGACGCCAAGGAAGCCCAAACAGGTTCAAACGGGGCGTGCAAGACGCCAGCGAGAAAGTCAAATTGGAGCAGAATTGCGCGATGCGACACATCATCACGTACGGTCAAGAACCGCTGACTCTCGTGTCGACACGGCGACCCAGGCGACCCGCTATGCCCTGCGAGCTGATGGCGCCTCAGTCCGATGTGCAGGGCGGAGGACTGGACAAAAACTCAGGACGTTGACGCTCGGGGACTGGATTCGGATAGCGTGTCGCGCCAACGCATGGTGGACCAGGACCGGCGGAACGACAGGCTGACCAAAGCTTCCCGCCCGCAGACGCAGCGAAACACCACCCAGACCACGCCAGAGCCAGTCCGCGCAGGTGCAGCGCGAGGACGGGCGCCCAAGGGCAACGAAGCGCGAAGCGAGACAGAGCATGCCGCACCGCGAGGCTCAGCGCCCCGGCGCAGAGCAGGACGCCCGGAGCATCACTGCAAAAGTATCGCTCCCCTCCTGCTCCTCCTCCTCCTCCTCCTCCTCCTC